CAACGACCTGTTCTCCTACCTTTCACCATCAATGGACCATTTCCTGACGGATGCTTTCATTTCCAACACGATGGCTGCCCTGTTCACAATGCATCCACAGTGCAAGAAAATTTAAATGCTTCTGGCATTGCACAGCTCTGCTGGCCTCCTAAAAGCCCCGACCTCAATATCATCGAGAATGTTTGGGGACTAATGAAGGACGTCTTTTCTTTCTCTTTTGCTCCTTCCCTGTCCTGTATTTTTTCTGGTGTTGCGCTGTAAGTTCACGATGGATCCTAACCAACTGGACCAACTTACCGCCTTACTACTATAATAAAGGCACAATTGGCTCGCGCCAATTTGGCAAGCAATGACGCTCACATTTTGTGGAATGTTGAGATGGAGTGGAATGTTCTCAGACAAGACCCTGATTTGGTGAAACCTCTGCTTCTATCCCGAAAAAGCTAAAAAACGTGAAGGTGAAAACGTGAAGCTAAAAAACGTGAAAAAGCTAAAAAGCGTGACTAAGTCACCAGGATGGTTCCTTTTTTTCCCACGGGGCCATTGTAAAGAAAAGGAAGTACCCTGGCGCAGAGGCACCAGCATCGGGCGTTCAGCAGAGGCTCTCGAGCTTGTGAGCTGCGACCGGTGCATCACCCGACAAGCAACAGCCTTCCCGTTCAATAAAGCTCTATCATGTATGTATATATATATATATATATATATATATATATATATATATATATATATATATATATATATATATATTTATATATATATATATATATATATATATATATATATATATATTTATATATCTAAGGGAGAGAAGTGTATACCTAAGGGCTCGTATTTCCGTGTTTTAACACAATAATAATGAGATATAACAGACAGTAATGCCAAGGAATGTACAGGGGAAGTTATTAGAACCAATGGAATGTAAATAAGAAGAAAGAAAAGTGGATGAAAAAATTACCAGCTGTGAGCAGGAATCGAACCTACGACCTTCGAATAACGCGTTCGATGCTCTAACCACTGAGCTATCACAGAGGCCATCCCTCCATCCACTTTCTGGGGTTTATATGTGAATTTAGAAGTAGGAGTGACAGTCAGCGCCATCTATAAGCCATCTATACATACATATATATATATATATATATATATATATATATATATATATATATATATATATACGCGTGTATGTCGCGACGAATGAGACATGTGTACCCACGCTTTTTTTTGTTTGCCTATTTGGAAGAATAGTTTAGAAGCTTTAAACAGCTTATGTCCACGCACAAAGAGAAAGGAGGCGTTAATTATTGCATAGTCCTCCGAAACAAACTAGTGCTTTTTATTGCACAGTAAACCATCACATCATAATTTGTCAATAATTGTGCGTCTGAAATTCGCGTTTCTTGAGGCCACAACCGTCCTATGTCAAGAGACAACATTGCGAAAAAAAAAATACTTACATTAACAAGCTCAATGCTTTCGTAGCATGTTTAGTGAATACGAAACGCTCTATAGCCCTCAAACAGCCTTCTTGAGTTAAAGTTTATTGCGACGTCAAGATAGAATAAGGGGGTGCTGTGTATACGCACAAAAATGGGGCAAATGCGAACAATTCAGAAAGAAGCAAACCTTAGACGTGCTGATTCCCGACATTAAATAACCGTACATGTGTAGAAAATATGGTCATTCTGTAGCGAGTAGAAACGTGGCTCTAGTTCACGCTCGTTATATTCCCTAAAGCTGTCGCTGATTACCAGGGGAATCGACTGTATGGGCAGACGCCAATCGCACGATGTCGGGGGACGTGTGGCGATTTTTAATGAGTCGCATGTGCTGGCCGGCTTTACCGTTTACGTACAAAGTTACAGTTCACGAGGGATGATCTTTCTCAAGCCCGAACGAACATTAAGTCGGCGGAGTGATTCAAGATTACGTGGACGACAATTAAGCATTCCGGTTCACGTTATTAATCTTTGATTCCTGACCAAGATTGGTCAGAAAATGATGCCAAACTTCGGTTATCAATCATAAATCTTGATTATATTTCACGTAGGTTTATTTTTCATAAACAATAGTTCAAAAAATCACTGCAATATTTAGTTTTTGCGCATTTCAGTGAAGGCCAGAACAACGGCCCCGCCACGGTGGTCTAGTGGCTAAGGTACTCGGCTGCTGACCCGCAGGTCGCGGGTTCGAATTCCGGCTGCGGCGGCTGCATTTCCGATGGAGGCGGAAATGTTGTAGGCCCGTGTACTCAGATTCGGGTGCACGTTAAAGAACCCCAGGTGGTCAAAATTTCCGGAGCCCTCCACTACGGCGTCTCTCATAATCATATGGTGGTTTTGGGACGTTAAACCCCACAAATCAATCAAAATCAAGGCCAGAACATGATAAAGTACGAGTATCTTCAGTGCTTTGAATCTTCGCTTAAGGCTGAAAAAGTTTGCAATGTAGCTTTATATGCATCTAAGATGCTTGATAATTGTGACGGCCAGGTTTCGCTTTGATGGAATACTCATTACCAGAGCTTCCACACAAGAAAAAGGACTATCGAACAGTTCGGTGCAGGGAGAAAAGGTACAATTGTTAATAAAGTTGTCATGTAAAGGACGATGCTGCGTAATCTCCACTGACTTTTGCAGGCGGGTCCCTGGAAGAATAGAAAGACTTAGAACGCCCGCGCATCATCTCAGCAAGGGGCTATGTGAGTACCGATTGACGGTGTCACGGTGCTACCGCACCGATATAGACCCTTGTCTGTGGCGTCTTGTCGCTTTACCGGTTCTATAGGAACATAAGTTTAGGCCTGTATTTAGGAGCCTACAATCATGTCTTATAGAAAATCCATGTTCATCCAGATGTTTTTTTTTCTGTTAACGGTACCGGAGTGTCGTGTCTGTATTGACCAGACAACGGACAGGAACAATGAGGGAGTCACAATAGTACTAGGACAAGTTCTGGTGAACGTGGCTCAAGATACCAAAGTCTCATTTTGCGCTAATACGGTGAAGGGTATTGAACATCTCAGTATTAGCTTCTCCTACATTTCAATAAACAACATAAAAAGGTGCTCATAGTAGTTCATCATCAAAAACAGCATCACCTCCCCCTTCTACTTCTGTGTTTTTTTTTGCCAACTGCTGTTTTACGACCAAGCCATAATAATATTTGTAGAGGTCTTGTGCTCCAAAGCAACGGTATTTTCATTTATTATTTATTTATTTTTTATTTACAGCAAAAATATTCTGGGAGACCAGGGGAAAAAAGGTGATGCAATCAGCTTGAGGGTGTCCTGGCCACTCTACAGAAAAGGAGAAAATAAAATGCACACATAATAAATATCCTTCATGAAACATAAACATTCTTCATGCAAAAAAAGTAACGTGCTTCCCTTGACATAGTAAAAAACATAATAAAGAAATAAAATATTTTCCTTGAAGAAACAGATAAAAAGAAAAAGACGGTGTTGTTTATGAGACATGTTCATGAGAAGGCTATTGTGGTGAAAATTCTCCATGGTTCTTTAAATGACGTTTTCGGAATGATTATGATAGGCGTCGTAGTGCAGTTGTTCCGAATTTTCGGCCTCGTGGAGTCTTGGAACGTGCACCTAAATCTAAGCACATGGTTCTTTAGCACTTTCCTTCCAGCAAAATGTGGTCGACCAGACGGGATTCGATCTCGCGACCCTTGGGTCAGCGGCAAATCTCCATAATCACGGGATCTCTGTGACAAGTACGACGAAGCCAGAAAAGAGTGTGCCTTTAGGTGGTATTGTGGATATTTCCGTATGCTGGGACTCGTGCAACATAAGTTTTTGAACTGCTAGTTACATCACTTTCCGTGTACTGGCTACACACAAAACGACGTTCAATGCGCGGAAACAGTATTAGGCATGTATTCTATAATAGAATTTCAACAACGATAGAACACATTATAAGTAAAAAAAAAAGGTGAGAGAAAACCTCCAACACGCTACGCTGCACACCTGCTTATTTAAATCCTTTTCGTTTCCAGCGAGAGTGAAAAGGGTGAGAAGTACGCACATGAATGTTCCCAAGACCAGCAGCTAGCTGCGGCCTTGGCGAAGACAAGACCTTTTAACAACAATTATTTGTCTTCAAATTTTCTTTGGCTAATAATCATGTTTGGTAAATGAGAATCCTGACTTTTTGACTCAAGCGTTAATATTCGGACTTAATTAGGATCCTAGTAATGGAGAAGTATATGTTGCTTGGGCTGTTTCTCAAAGGTATGTTTAGCGGGATATGAATGCGCCGGCTGAGGCTAAAGCCTTCTTCCCCTAATTCTTTTTAATTTTTTACAGGTGCGAGTAAAAAAGTTATTTCTCTATCTCCTGAAGGTGTGGTCTGCTTGAGCACCTTATGAAGCAACAGCCAACTAACCACATTGCGTCCGCACTGGCCATTTTAGAAGCAGGCGCTATCGCAACCAGACTGCCAGCAGATGGCCGAAACTTGGAACACGCGAGTGGATCGGACGGAAGAACACCGTTTACGACTTCGCCTCTGCCGTCTTGGCAGTATAGTTAAGGAAAAGGCTGAAGCTTGAAGAGATCGCTGCCTCGAAAAGGCAAGGGCGCTTGTTGAAACGTCAGATCCAACGTTACCCCGTGTTCGCAAATTCTCATCTCTTCCGTTTTAGGCTACTTCACCACCGCGCTCGCGAAAGTGGGCGCACAAGCTAGACGATCCGCGTACGTATACATGCGCGTGTGCGCGCACGCGCGGTACAACGGCCCTTTACCGCAAAACCGTATTGCACAGCAACTTCCTTCCCGAGCCAACTTCCCGACAGGTCGAGTGCGAGGGCCGGTGGGAAAGGGTGACCAGGCCGCAGAGTGTAAACGTTTCGAAAGAGTCGCTTGAGACAAAGGCACGGGTAGAAAGTGTGCAAGAAAGGAGAAGAAAACGAGATCGGGCGAGGGCGACTCGAGGTGGCTGGAGAGGAGGGTGCCTCCGGCGGGGGAGGCTCGTCCGTGGTTTCGGGCGACGGCGAGTTCGTGAGCGCGACCGGCACTTGCACGGCGACGGAGCGCCAGTCGGGCCCTTGCTGAGTGCGGTTGCGCTTTCTCCTGCCAGGCGAGCAACCACGCGGACCTAGCGACGCACCTTGGGTTCACGTAGTATATCCACCGCGCATAGCGGTATCCACACTTGACCCAAGTTGATCATCGACAGGGAGGCCACGCGGACTGTGAATGGGCTACAACTCCATGCTGCCAAGAACGACATGGATTGGCGTCAGGTGAGCTAGCTTGCAATCGCAGTGCTTAATGGCAGCGCATGTGGCAAGTGATAGAGGCCTCTCGCGCCAGGCTGTCACCCTAGGACGCGCAAGAACTGTGCACCTCCTCTCCCCCAAGAAACATGCTGTTGTGAGAAAGCACGCGGGCTTCTTGAACGGACACGGCTTTCGCTCTTTGTTGGACACCTATACGAAGTGTCCAACAAAGAACCTTACTAGGGAAGAAGAAAAAAAGGAAAAGATAGAATCCGCTATCTTAATGGTCTTCAAAAAAAAAAAAAAAGTTGGAGACTGCCGTTACTACATGTTCTCTCATCTACATGCAGTAAACATTCAAGCTGTCGTGGTTTCCTGCACGACGGCATCGTCATAACCTAAAGGTCGTAGTAAGCAGCCGCATCTAAATGTACGCGCTATGAAACAGCGCAACGTAAAGCAATGTACTAGTACATCAGAATCACCTGAAGTGTTGCATCTGCACCAGTTGAGAAAGATTGGTTAAACTAACACACTCTCCTTACTTGTGCCTGTCGGAAGTATTGCAAGACGTAAGAAAGAAGCTTCTGAGAGCAGAAGGTGGTAATTTTTAGTTTTTTAATTTTGTCTTTTTTGTGAAGTGTCATTTGATAAAGTAGTGTGCATTATTCTAATGTCGAGTAATTAGTCGTCTTTTGCACAACAATATGCCATCGCACCGTTAATATTTCGTGAATTTAGGCTGCTGCAGTAATTAGTATTCTTCTGCGTATACGTAATGTGGTAGAACTATTTCGAGAGATACAGGATTGTTGGTATATACCTATCATGAGTTACCGTCAATACAAGGGGAAAGAAAGCCTTTATCCACGCTTTTCTTTGCTTATACACAGTTTGTTGTATTTGATTGATCTGCACTCTTTCTGCAAATATTTATGCTGATAAATAGTCCTTTGCAATATCTGTCACTAACGCAGCACCGCTTAACAATAATTGCGTCAAGTTTGACCGACGCAAGTGCACTGAAAAAAGCCGGCAATACGAAACTAAAGACCATCCTAACCATCATAAAGCCCATATAAAATTGTAAATACCGCCTTACACCTAGTACTGCCTGAATGTGCTTCGCCTATGCCACACAATGTTAACGTAACATTCTTTATGTGAGGTATGAAAAACAAATCTTCAGCCTGCACCATAAACATATAGCAGTCAATGTTAACGTGACAGAAGAGAAAGCGACCCTTATAAAATCACTCGAACTTTAATGCGTACACATGTTGTGTTTTACAATAAAGATCGCTGTTCATCTCGCCAGCTATACGCATTCCCGTGGTAGCAAAAAAATTGAGTGCCTCAGATTGTGAAAATGCATGTAGTGGTGCCGCAGACTTCTTCCATCGAGTTCCTGCAGCGCGATATAGTTGCTCGTATCGTTCGTACATCGCAATTACTTTCAACGATAAGCTGTTGCTGAGCCAGAAATAAATATAAGGAGCGAAAGCAACATCGACGATAAATACATGGTGCTGAATGGGAAGAGTGAACCAAAACCGTGGCACATGTTCACTATATGTAGTTATATGACGTCAAAATGAAGCCGCGTGTACACAGGAACTTGCCATGAGATTTCATCACGTCATGCGGATCTGAGGAATGCGTAGTTGAGTGTGGGACTTGAACAGCTGACCCCACAGTCTTCACAGCCTTCACAGTTCTCAATTTTCTCACTCTCTGTATCTCTCCTGGTGCTTGAACTTCAACGTAAAACTGCTGATTCGTGAATTTTTTTACGGCACACTCCTGATAAACGAAACTCAAACGAAAATGTGAGATTATTAGAAGTATAGGGTGCCCATGTTATTGACCACCGTTAGGCACAATCTTGAAAAGGTTTGTTTAAGTCGAACGCTGTTTCGTGAACTCCATCGAAAGGGTGGCCACGTGTTTGGATCATGCGCCGTTATCCGACAACCACGTAAGATGGTCACGCTTACCAGCAAGAACATAAATAGATCAGGCAGTTCATTGCTATGGCGAACACGGCTGATATGCGGCGCTCAATGCACCCTGCATACCAAATCTTTTCACTCGCTTTCAGCGTACCGAGTGATTACATGTAGCGCTTTCCACTATAGGGTCGCTTTATTTCTTCAATCCGTGGCGCGCTCGATTTGACGGGGGCACGGTGGCCGTGAAGTGAATGCGGCTCGCTATGCCCTGACGAAAAATATACAATCTCTTGTGTCAATGGAGAATAGGTGCCACACACATAATTACTTGTCATCGTTGCACATGCCGTGAGGAAAAGAACGCGTGTGCGCGTAAACCTAAACACCCTCTTGTCACGCAGAACGCATGGGTTCGTGCCCCCAGAGGACCGACATTCTTTATTAGTTATTTAATTACATCTACCCTGTGGTCTCGCTTGCGGACAACGCCGATTTTTCGCAATGTACCAATGACGCTTACGTAGACATCGACACCGGAGTTTTCGAGACACCGGAAAAGGAGATTTCAACACTTACGCGTGAAACCCTGCTCTCCGTAGTCTGTGAAGCGAGATGAAGGCGGAAATGCTGTAGATCCGTGTGCTCAGTTTTAGGTGCACGTTAAAGAACCCCACGTGGTCGAAATTTCTGGAGCCCTCCACTACGGCGTCTCCCATAATCATATTTGGTGGTTTTGGGACGGTAAACCCCAAACATCAATCAATCAATCAATGAATCATCAGTGAAGCGAGCCACGAACATTCAACTGCCACTGTGCCCACGTCAAATTGAGCGCGTCACTGATTAAAGAAAGCGACGCCTAGAGCTAAACGTTACATGCAATCATTTGATCTGCGGCAAGCGAGTAGAAAGATATCGATGCGAAAATGAAAGGACGCGCATGCGCACTCACCACGTCAGATGGCGCGGCGATGCAGTTTTATCAGATCGCGGTCGTCACTCGCGCGACCCGACTTATTTTGCAGGCGGGTGTGTCTTGCATCAGTGGCTCAAGGCACGTACAGTGGGGCTCAGCAGTTCTGGCTAATCCTGGCCTTAAGAAGTTATACTATGTGATGTCTACGCTGGAACCAGGCGTTCGCGCCTCCCGCCAACTTGCGGGCATGATATTGTTCGTTCTCGGATCCTCTGACGTCGCGATCTTGTCGGAGCTGACGAATACTTAGCCGTTCACAAGCATTGTCGTGCTAGGCTGATTTGGGGTCTTTAGCTCACCGTCGTCGTTTTGCAGCGGCTTCTTCGGCTTACCACTTTCCGAGTCCAATCGGCGTCAACGCTGGGCAGTTTTGCTTTGCAGGGCGCCACGATTCTTAGTAAGCGGCTTCCTTCTCGACAGTGTGAACATTCCCCGGTCTCAAGTCTACGTCTGCTGCGCCGCCACCGCGCACCGCGAGCGCATTAACAGTTGGCCGTGACGTCACGCCTCATTCGTAGTGCACGGGCAGTAGTGCGCAGGTGGTGGGGGACGCAAATGCGCGAAGGTTATGTCATGGCGAATGCGCAGTGCCTCTCAGTCGGCGATAGCTTGGTGGAGCCGTGTCGATGTCCGGCGAAGTGAGCGTGCATCTGTGCCGGCGTTTACTAGACAACGCGAGGTGATGTTATCGCTAGGCGGAGTTTTCGATCTACGACAGATGATTGATATGTGGGGTTTAACGTCCCAAAACCACCATAGGATTATGAGAGACACCGTAGTGGAGGGCTCCGGAAATTGAGACCACCTGGGGTTTTTTAACATACACCCAAATCTGAGCACACGGGCCTACAAAATTTCCGCCTCCATCGGAAATGCAGCCGCCGCAGCCGGGATTTGATCCCGCGACCTGCGGGTCAGCAGCCGAGTACCTTAGCCACTAGACCACCACGGCAGGGCTCTACGACGGACGGATTACGCTCTGCTGAAACAGCTCCGCTGCTAAGGCTACGCGGGGCTGTAACTACGATAACCCTTTTCAGATGCTAAATATATCCTCTGCAGGTGCCATTCTTCGACATTTATCCATAACATGGTATAACTGGGATGAAAAGGAGTAACACCAAATTTGATTGAAATGAACCACGAGAAAAAATAGCATACGTACTCGGGATCTCACAGTGCGCCGCCATGGGAATGCGCTACATTTCTGTCTGAGTGGTAGCACCACTTTCTATGTGCTATTTTAGTCTTGCTGGCAAAACTCCACGATCTTATAATGGCGAAAAAAATGTATACATATTACATATGGTGCCTCAACTGAACACCGTTCATTGTACGCTACCTACGTTGGCTAACTTCCAGCCTCTACATGTGGCCTCTGGTGAAGCTAGACGTAACTCGTTCTGGAAGCTGCGGTACACTAGGAGCACAAAAAATACCGGTTTCACGTTCTACGCGAGGCTCTCTGTGTATATATCTACAAAAGCGACACCTGCTGCTATAGAATCACTGCTGGCTACTGGTGCCTTTAAATCAGACGCGCATGAATTGAGAAAGGAGGAATGAACAAAGAGCTTTTGCGTTATCCAATAACCTTCCTGTTTAGTATTTTCTCTCATTTCACTGCGAAAACAAATGATGACAGTTGAGAGAGAAAGTAAAGTGGCCATATCATCATACGACAAAAAAAAAAATTGCTTCTGGCTTAACAGTGGACGCACAATTTGTCTTGCTATGTGACTTTGTTCAAACAGACGCAGGCAAAACGTACCGATTGCTTTCATAAATACGCATTGGCCGTTGAAAAAGAGAAAAAAATTCTGCATTTATGATACTCCATTAGTCCTGCAGTTCTGTAACAACCGAAACATAAGTGCTGGTTCTACTAACTATTTTACGGACCCTATTTGGTGCCACCGTACTACCGGGAGCTCTTAACCATGTGTCTTGTACCTTGAAAGGGACTTTAGGAGAGAAAAAATATTTCTTTTTTAGTTTTTGTAGAGCACGATTTCCACAATTTCGAAAACGCAACTTTCACCGCGAGATGACGCTTTGTACGCGGGCAAACGCGCGGAAAGAAAATGCGGGTAGAG